TGGGAGAGACCGACCCTCGGACAGCAGGGGCCGTGGGATGGACCGACCCTCGGACAGCAGGGGCCGTGGGATAGACCGACCCTCGGACAGCAGGGGCCGTGGGATAGACCGACCCTCGGACAGCAGGGGCCGTGGGATAGACCGACCCTCGGACAGCAGGGGCCGTGGGATAGACCGACTCTCGGACAGCAGGGGCCCTGGGATAGACCGACCCTCGGACACAGCCTGCCCTTCAACAGACAGCAGGGGCCATGGGAGAGACCGACCCTCGGACAGCAGGGGCCGTGGGATGGACCGACCCTCGGACAGCAGGGGCCGTGGGATGGACCGACCCTCGGACAGCAGGGGCCGTGGGATAGACCGACCCTCGGACAGCAGGGGCCGTGGGATAGACCGACCCTCGGACAGCAGGGGCCGTGGGATAGACCGACCCTCGGACAGCAGGGGCCGTGGGATAGACCGACCCTCGGACAGCAGAGGCCGTGGGATAGACCGACCCTCGGACAGCAGAGGCCGTGGGATGGACCGACCCTCAAACAGCAGGGGCCCTGGGATAGACCGACCCTCGGACAGCAGGGGGCCGTGGGATAGACCGACTCTCGGACAGCAGGGGCCCGTGGGATAGACCGACCCTCGGACAGCAGGGGCCGTGGGATAGACCGACCCTCGGACAGCAGGGGCCGTGGGATAGACCGACCCTCGGACAGCAGGGGCCGTGGGAGAGACCGACCCTCGGACAGCAGGGGCCGTGGGATAGACCGACCCTCGGACAGCAGGGGCTGTGGGATAGACCGACCCTCGGACAGCAGGGGCCATGGCCCTCAGGAACAGTCATTAAAATAGGAGAGAGTGGCCCTCATGAACCGGCAGAAACCATAGGATGGAATGGCCCTCCACAACAGGTAGAGACCACAGAATAGAGTGCCCCTCGGGAACCTGCAGGGATCATAGGATAGAGTGGTCCCTAGAAAAATCCAGGTGCCTTAGGCCTTTAGAAACAGGCAGAGACCATAGGATAGAATGACCATTAAGAACTTGCGGTGGTCATAGGATAGAGTGGCCCTTAGGAACAGGCAGAGGTCATATTCTATGTTTCTATGAAAAACTACCACAACAAGAGGACATAGTCCTAAATTAGAGTGGAAAAGGTTTAAAAATATCAGGAAGTATTACTTTACTGAAAGGGTAGTGGATGCATGGAATAGCCTTCCAGCTGAAATGGTAGAGGTTAACACAGTGAAGGAGTTTAAGCATGTGTGGCATAGGCATAAGGCTATCCTAGCTATAAGATAAGGCCAGGGACTAATGAAAGTATTTCGAAAATTGGGCAGACTAGATGGGCCGAATGGTTCTTATCTGCTGTCACATTCTATGTTTCTATAGGGTAAAGACAGAAACCAGAGTTACCCTTAAAGTCAGGCAGTGTGTTAAAGAGGCTTTTGGAAGGAAGTAGGAGACATTTAGGATAGAGTGGTTCTCATGAAGAAGTGATTGTCATTGATTAAGATGTCCTATAGGAAATACATGGATCTAATCGGATTGATTGGTATTCAGGAGCCAGGCAGGGGGCAATATGGGATAATATTACTTGTAGGAGGAAGCAGGTGCCATATGGGATAGAGTGGCTTTTGTGGGGAAGCTAGTGCCTATTGATAGAGTGACCTTCATCAAAAATCCAGTTATTTATGAAATAGAGCTGTTTCGTGCTTTATAAATTTAGCCACAAACATACAGATGAATATATAATTATAGCTATTGGTACAAAGGTAGAGAGACCTACCATTTTGATCCAGCACACGTGGCATCTCATGTACAAGATTACCCATGAATTTACGATCTAAATCGTCAAATTACAACACCCCGTGATTCTTTGGCCATCTATTGCATTTAAAGAATTCTGGGAATTGTAGGATGTTAAAGGACCACTATAGACATACTCGTTTTCCTGGCACTATAGTGCCCTGAGGGTGCCCCCACCCTCAGGGTCCCCCTCCCGTGGCGCTGAAGGAGGAGGAAGGGGTTAATCCCCGGCGCTGGGACTCTCCTCCCTCTTCTTCCGTCATCGGCTGAATGCGCATGCGTGGCAAGAGCTGCATGCGCATTCAGCCAGTCTCATAGAAAAGCATTCTCAATGCTTTTCTATGGACGATGGCGTCTTCTCACTGTGAAAATCACAGTGAGAAGCGCCTCTAGCGGCTGTCAGTGAGACAGCCAATAGAGGCTGGATTAACCCATAGGTAAACCTAGCAGTTTCTCTGACACTGCTATGTTTACAGCAGGCAGGGTTAATCCTAGAGGGACCTGGCACCCAGACCACTTCATTGAGCTGAAGTGGTCTGGGTGCCTATAGTGGTCCTTTAACATGTGAGGGGCCAGGGTTTGAGATCTGGGACGTTATAGATATGTTTACTTGCAGGAGGAATAGGTCATAGAATGGAGTAAAACAAAAAACACAAGCCTTGGTTAGGATTTTTAGGTCTGTTGTTTTTCTGGATGCATATTGCTTTTTTTATCCTGAT